AGAAGAAAAGAAAGAAAAAATATGAGGGGAAAGAAAACAAACAAATAAAGGAGGGGGGAGGAATATGAAGGGGCAGAGATGAAATAAAGAAAATAACAATAATCAATAGGGGAAGGAAGACAGTTTAAAATAAAAGAGGAAGAAAAAAATTTGAAAAGGAAAATAGAGAAACCAGATAGACCCAAAATAGGAAAAGAAAAAAAGATGTGAAAGGACAAGAAAAAGAAGAAAAAAAAATGGGTATGAAAAGGTAGATATATGAATGAGACAATAGAGATTAACGTAATAAATAAACCAATAATGCAGAGAGATAAATTTAAAAAAAGAAAGGGAAGAGTGAAGTGGTGTTCACCTCAGCAGTTTAGTGCCTCCTGCAGCTCCCTCTGGACCCTGCTCACGTAATGACTGAGGCTGACTGTGCTGCTGGTGCTGGGCTCCCGGGGCACTTGGGTGCTAACCAGTCAGACACGGTCCTCCCTTGGCTTCCAGCACCAGCTCGACGCTCCAAGCGATCTAGCTTGTGTCTGTCTCCGTAGGCCTTGGCTGCAGACTGCACGTGGGAGGGCCAAGCTGCCCTCTAAGGCAGGTCTGTTGGCCGCAGGGGCCCAGGGTTGGGACAGTAAGCTTCTCCAGAGTCCCGCCTTAGCTTGCCAGGCAGCTGTCAATCTTAAATCACTCAAGTCTGTTTTGAAAGGGCTTTAGGGGAAATGGGGAGTCTAACCTCTGGTCTCCCGTGAGGGGAGGTGCTGTTCAGATCTCAGGGACTGTGGTGGGGTGTTTCTGGTCCACGAGATGCTCCTCTGCCAGTGGCCCAGAATATGACTCTGCTCTCAGCTGGGCAGAGACCCTCCTATGCAGGCTGTGGGATCAGCTGGAAACCGGGGGAGTCTACCAGCTCTCCCGCCTGGGAGAGGCACCAGTCAGGCTCCTGGGATAGTGGGGTGGACGGCCCCTCCGCCCAAGCAGTCACAGACCTGTCCTGAGGCTGTTCCAAACCGTAGGTTTGGCCTCTGTGGCTGTCGATGCAGGTCTGGCAGGCAGGGCTCCTGAGGGTGGGGTGCGCTGTGTCACCTAGGATGGGGACTTTTCCTTTTCCTGGAAAATGGCTGCTTCTGTTTGGAGGAGCGCGATGAAATAAATGCAGGTCTCCCACTGCTGCTTTCCCCTCATGCTCCCCACCCCAGCCTCTCCTTTAGCACCTCCAGTCTGCACTGCCCTCCCTCCACCAAAGGCTGCAAATGAACTCCTGGCCCCGGGAGGAGGTGCAAGGAAGGTCTGCCTATTGCACCCCCCTGCTCCTTTATTAATAACTAGCTAAGATGGCGACAAAAATGCCAGAGAGAACACGCTGTAAAGTATGATATCTAACCACTATGCTGTACACCTGAAACTCATACAAACATTAAATGTAAACTGTAATTGAAAAAGATTAAAAAATAAATGATGACCCTGGCTGGTTTGGTTCAGTGGATAGACACTGGCCTGCAGACTGAAGGATCCTGGGTTGGATTCCTGGTCAGGGCACATGCCCAGGTTGCTAGCTCAATCTCCAGTAGGGGCATGCAGGAGGCAGCCAATCAATGATTCTCTGTCCTCACTGATGTTCAAAACACATTCCTCTGCACCTGGGGACCAGGACAGCACAATTGCTTTAATTGCTTCAGTGGCTCCAGAAAATGTGTTTTCTGTTGACTCGGTGGCTCGGAGATCTAAAACTATAATTAATCTTTGTAGATAACTTGCTCAATTTAGCTTCTGTAACAGACTGCTTTTGCAAACCAGGTTCCTCATTCCAAACCTAGAGATGTAATTGATACCTTTGTGATATTTGCCTATATAAGCCTGATGTTACTGTCATTCGGGGTTGCAAGACTTAGAGCATTTGCCCCCTTGTAGCCGCCAGCTCTGAAATAAATGTGGCTCCTTAATTCGATTTCTTGAGGCGTCCTCGTGTAATTCGTGGGGTACAACAATAGAAAACTACCTTGTTATCAGACTTCAAGATCCTGCAGAGAGACACTCGGGCTAGGGACCTGCAGCCCTTACCTGCCCGCTTGCCCCACACACAGCCTTTCTCCCCTATCCTGCACAATCAGCCGCCAGGAGGGGAGGGACTTCTGTGGCTGACCTGCTGCTCTCCCATGCTGCTGGCATTGTTGGAATAAATGCTCAGATATCATTCAACCCTGTCTGCTTAATTTGGCTCAAGTAGTCATAGGCAGCCAAATTTTTTATGTCCAGTTTCAGCATCACTCCCCAAACAGGCCCCTCGGACCCACAGATTATTTTGAGTGAAAGGCTATTGAGAACCAGCAGGTTAGGAAAAGCTCTAAAAGCAAGACCCAAGTCGCCCTCTCGAAGGGAAAGATGTTTGTAACGGTGCTCCCCACCCCCCACCCCCGGGGCAGCAGGGAGGCCTCAACTTACATCTGCGCAGCCATTCTTGGGCAGACCCTGGCTCACCGCTTCTCCCGGCCGCCGGTACATGCCAACCCTTCTCCTCTGGTCAGCCCGGGGCAGCCCCACTCTGACCCCTTTGGGTTATTCATCAGTGGGGGCTCCCGTGTGTGTGTGGGGGGGGGCAGGGGGCACACGTTAGTACACGTTTCTGTTTCTCTCTTGCTGACCTGGCCTTTGCCAGCCCCATGTACAGGCTCCAGCTGGAGGATCAGGTGGAAGGGAAAACGCCCTCCCCCCCCCCCCCCCATGCACCTGGGAAGGTGCCTGTGTGCTGTACCCAGGGTGTGGCTTCAGTGTGTCTCTCTCCCTTAACTGTCGGTCCTGGCACCTTGCGGCCCACATCGACTACAATGTGTCACCACATAGGCCAGTGGTGATGGGCTCATCTTCTAGGAGATGGTCTGTGGGTGAAAGGGCTGGCTCAGGGGAGGCGTGCATGGCAGGGAGCACAAACTGAGACCTACCGTAACCACACAGGCTGGTCTGCAACTACAACTCCCCAAGTAAAAGTGAGTCACGGCAGGTGGTCATGTCCTAGGCCTGCAGCTTGCTTGGCAAAGGGCAATCTTTACTGTAACTGAGCCTATTGTCTTTTACATTTACAGCCTGCCCATCTCCCAGGCGTCTCCTGCTGCTCCGTGTTTCCCACCCACAGAAATGGTGAGATGATTATTGTTTATTCAGGCCACTTTTTGGGGGTAACAGGTTAGGCAGCCACAGGTCACAACACGTTCAGCTGGATGCTGGCTCTGCTCCTCGCTGGCTAGGACCTGGACAGCAGGAGTCCTCGCCGAGCCAGGCTCCTCACCAGGTAATCAGTGAGCAGGCCTAGCATCTGAGCCATGACCAGATGCCCACCAGTCCTGGCTGCCCATCTACCTCGTTCACCTATTCACCTGCTCACCGACTGGCATCTCCCACGTGAAAACGTGCTCTCGCAAAGCCATCTTGCTCACTGAGCTACCCGAGTGCCTACAGGAGTGCCTATCTCAGCAACTGTCCCAACCAAAATATGTTGACTGAAAAATAACACAACTCACAAAAGCAAGCGCTCACTGTGTGCAAAAGTAAGGACGGGGCGCAAGAGGCTGGAGGCCTGGTGGGCGCTGGAGTCCCAACCCTCTAGACCAGGGGTCCTCAAACTTTTTAAACAGGGGGCCAGTTCACTGTCCCTGAGACCGTTGGAGGGCCGGACTATAGTTTAAAAAAAAACTATGAAAAAATTCCTATGCACACTGTATATATCTTATTTTGAAGTAAAAAAACAAAACAGGAATACAATATTTGTATTTGCACGTGGCCCGCGGGCCGTAGTTTGAGGACCCCTGCTCTAGACAGAGAGGTCTGAAGCCCAAGGGGCGGAGGCAGGGCTGGAGATGCCGGGTAACTCCTCCCAGAGCCGCTGAGCGGTGGTCTCCCCACTGGGCAACACGCCCCACCCCCCAGTAGCCCTACCACCGGTTGCGTCCTGCACTCCTGTCAGCAAATGTCCAGCTCACCCCTAGCTGCAGGAGAGCTTCTGACCTTTGGTAACATACACTGTACCTCAGTGCAGAGCAAGTGCAGGTGGCGATTCTGGTCTCAGGCTCTGCCCAGGCTGGGATGCAGCTCCTGCAGACAGGAGGCCTCCACCTCCCTGAGGGGGTCATGTTGGGAAGAGGGGAGACACAATGTAAATCCAAGCAGCCCACAGCAGATAACCCCAGAGTGCTTTTCCAGTCCTCGTCTGAGGTGTAGCCATGTTGCTTTTAGAACCTGGCTCTGAAACAGGATAATGAAACCACAGGGCCCATCCAACCTGGCAGCCCTTTTGCAAAAATTGCTTAAAAAATCAGTGCCAAAGGGAGAGAAGCTGAGCTTCAAAAAAGCACTTCTGTAGAGCATTCGCGATCTTGCTCCCTGGCATATGTTGACAGTTTGACTCAAATAAACTTATAAAGTCTCAAAACCTCCCCACAAAGAATTATTATAAAAGAATTACTATGAAAGTCCTAGGCAAGTTTGTTTTTTCCATTGACCACCCGCTACTTCCTTTCATTCGGATAGCAAGTCCGAACACCCAGAGCCCTTAGCCAGGCTTCTGCGGTGTGAGGACTTGTCTCCCAGCGGCCATCACTTCGCTGTTGCTACCCCTCAGTCCTGGGAATGGTCCCTGCAGGTCAGCTCCCAATGCGTGTCCCTCAGTGAGAGCAGCGGCCCCGGTCAGCATTTACGCAGCATCTCCGTGGCCAGGGCTAGCTGATGCACAAGGGCCTTGCACCTGCCGCTGGAGAAGGCATCATGCTGCCAGCACGGGGGCCGGCGAGGGAAGGTGGTCACCACTGTCTTCACAAATGAGCGCTTAGCGGGTAGCATGGGCTGCAGTTCTGCGTGAGGTGGAATCTACACTCAACCGCTGGTGTCCTCGCAGGAATCTCAGCCCTAATCGTGTTGGGCTGTGCCCTACTGAGCCCTCAGAGGCGGAACAGACACCTCTCCACGCCCTGCCGGCGCCAAGAAGCCCCAGGCCGGCGGAAGGCGCACACTCTGCTCACAGTGGGGACAGGTGCTCACTGGTTTATTGAGACTCAGGGAGGTTGTCCCCGAGACACACATGTGCAGGGACACACCCGCTCCCCACGGCCCATGGAGCCAGGTCAGCAGTCAGGGATGCTGCCTTGGTCAGAATTCTCACCAACTACCCACTGGAAGCAGCTCCCAAACCTGCCGACGCCGCTTCTCCTTAATCACCCCAGAACACAGTCCGGGGAGGCTCCCCGAGGGGCAGGAAGGGAGAGGGTGTGGTGAGGCTGAGGGGAGAGAGGACGGCATCATATGGACGAACCCGGACGGCAAGGTCTGTGCCCAGAGGGCTGTATTTACAGGAGGGTGGGAGCCTGGCTTCTCCACTGCCCTCCCCTACGGGCCTATCCTCCCCACACCCGCTCACTTGTAAAGCAAATGGACTCGACTCCCATCACAGCTCAGCCGGTCGGGGAGCTCAGGGGGGCCCCTGGGCAGGCCCCCAGAGGGGCCCGGGGGTGTGGGAGGGGG